GATTTTCACAAAAAGCAAACAAAGATATACAAAGTAATGAGGCTTAAGACTAAGTACCCACTCTCACACGCGCTTGGGAAGAGAAACGGAGTCAAAAGCTCGAAACTTTACTCGAAACAATGTCACCGGAAATTCGCCGGAAAACTTGATTTATAAGCTCCAAACCAAAATATAAAAAAGGAAAAAACAAAATAGAGAGGATTTTCCCAACTTAAAAGTTGAGAAATAAGGGTTGTCTTCCAAAATACAAAGCAAGATGTCTTTATATAGCTACACCACAAAAACACACTAAAAACACACACATTAATTAAGGCACTCTCGAGCTAGCCATGAAATCCGCGAGCTCGCGCTGGCGCGCATGGACGCGTGTGGCACTCTCGAAGGCGCTGGCTAATTCGCGTGGCCGCAGGCGGGCAGCAAGCATGCGGTGCGCGGGTGAAAGAACTCTCGATCTCGTACCTAGTTCCTCGAGCGCGCGGCGTGCTGTGAGCTGGGACGTGCTGGCGTGGCATACGGCGCTCGCGAGGTCGCGCTGCCTTCCGTGAGGGCGCGAGTGGGCGTGAAGGCGGGCTCTCGACCTCGCCGTTCAATCCACGTGCACGCGAGTGTCTTGTACAATGGGACCTCGGCACTCTCGAGCTCGCTATGGCTTCCGCGAGCACGCGACTGGCAGGCGGCGTGCGTAGGCGTGCGTGCGGGCGTGGGGCTCGGTTCGTGCTTGATTCTTCATTTCGCTCTATCTTCTCGCACCGAACTCCGATTCGCCCGAAACTTAGACCAAAATTCTTGTCTTTGAATGCTCTTCCTCCGGGTATGGTTTGGTCGGAATTTCCAGATTGGACGGCTCGGTCGGCTCGGATGGCTCGTCTCCTCGTGCGCGATGAAATGGACCTAATCACACCAAAAACAAAGAGAAAACGCGCAAAAATACGAACAAGCTATACAAGAGCAAGAATATACAAAACACGACAAAATGGACTGGTCGAGCCTAAAAACGGACCTAAGAACCACAAAATAAAACACATAAAATACAAGAAAATAAGGACAAAAACACAACAAACAACTCCCCCACACTTAAACCTTTGCTTGTCCTCAAGCAAACAAAACAACAAGTAGTGTTGAGAGGAGAGATCGAGCGGTCCAAGATCAACAAACATGCATTATGTACTCTCCTAATCACTCGGTTATTTACAAAATAAAACGCAAACTCGAGAGCACGGTTCCCACATGTGAATCCAACAAAACAAAAACAAGTCCCAAGTTATTCAATCATGATTTACTCAATGCAAACTTCCTTCTACAATAAACACGTGCAAAAAGCTCAAAACGGTCTACTCAATGTATAGGATAATAAAATCGAGACCATAAGCCAACCCCCATTTTTCTTTTCATTTTTCCATTTTTTATTTTTTTTTTTATATTATTTTATTTTAATGAGTCACTTTTTCCAGATGGAAGCCGTTAGGACGATTATTACCTAGGTTTAACCTCGGGGGTTATTCTCGAGTCGCCTAGGCTGGTTTCCCATGCTCATTGACCCGATATATCTAGAAGATTAACCGAGCCAAGAGGATCCTAATCCTTTCGACTCCCACGAACTCATTTCGTGAGCTTCTCTTTCCAAACGAGGTTTCCAGACGAGATTCCCTAGGTTTAACCACGAGGGGTTTCCTCGAGTTTTCTAGACCAGTTTCCCGGGCTCATTATCCCAATCCACTAAGTGGCTCGGAATGAGAGGAGCCTAATCCATACTTCCTCGCGAACTCACTTTTTATTCTCTTTTTTTTTTAGGGGGTGGCACACAAAGGTACATCACGAATACGTTCAAAATCATCACAACTCAATCACGACGTACACAAAGTGTTTAGCATAACACGTTTCATCAACAATCGAGCATAAGGCAAGCATGATCAAGATCCTCAATCAAGAACGAACAAAGGACAAGAAAGTCTCGTGAATTCACATGTGAGTTCTAATGCCAACAAATAATCATTTCATTTTATAAAAACCGTCAAAATCATTGAGCACATAAAGCATGAGAGTTAATAATGAACACAAACGACAATCCAATCTAACCACTAGTCATTCCGAGCAATTGGACTCACATCAATTCTCATATGGGGAAATCGACACAAAACACACAAAAACAAACAAAACCGGTCCACAACACAACTAAAAAAAAAATAAAAAAAAACTAAATAAAAAGAAAATACGCCTAAAGCATGCATAGTCACGCAAACCCCTCCCCCACACTTAAAACAAAGCAATGCCCTCATAGCTTGACCAACAAAAGCATAGGAAAGAGCACGTAATCACATAAGCTTCATGCGAGAAAATAAAAATAAAAACAAAACGAACTATACAAACGAGAAAAAGAAAAGAAACACGTAATCATATAAAAAGAAAGAGAAAAGGAAAAACAGGAAAAAGAAAAGAAAGCGCGTACTCTACACGGTATGGCCATCACCGTGTGTCTAATAGTGATCGTCCGGTAAGGAGAGAGAATGAATATAATGTGTGTCCCTCGAGCTCGGATCGAAACATCCAAATCGGATCAACATGAAGCACGTACGGACCATGAACAAACGGACGAATGTAATCAATAATAGCATGAGAGAGACCTCGGGTATGTGTCTCGCAGAGATAAGGGATGTGAAAGCATGAACTCGACGTAGACACGTTTTGCAATGAATGTCCGAGAATCGGGCCTCGGTCTAAGTTCGATGTTTGCCATGATTCGACACAACTAACTCCGGTTGTATGCAAGGCAAAACTCGATTACCGACGCTTGCCGTAAGTAGGTACCTACAAACTCAAAATCCCGGCAAAAACACAAATATGTGG